ATGTAACTAAACCTCCCCTGCTATACACTATCTTAGCTAGAGCAGACCAGAAACGGAGTACTGTACTGAAGGTACCCAAACCTCACTTGCCTGTCTTGATAGAGTTCAAAAGTGTCTACGCGGCCTTGTGGTTGATTAATTATTTTCCACCTTACAAGCCCTTTCCCAAAGACGAAATTTCGCGAGTTGCTCGCAGCTCTATCGCTATTTCTATGGCAAGTGTTCTGACAGGATAGATTCCTTGTTTCCACCAGCCCTAACCTTTGCAGAGGGGTGACCCACTATGTCACTTACACAAGAGTAAATCATCCTCATTCCATTTGTATTTCATTAGTAAGAAGTTCTACTCGGACAGTTTCTCTCCAAGAATTGCTGTTTTAGGCTTCATCCCGGCAGGATGCTTTCCCGGTCACTACAGTCTTGACCTCTTCCCGTTTGGAGTTAACCGTTATTTTTTTTTACATAACCTCGTAACCCAGCCTTTTCTCACGCGCATAAAACTCCACAGAGGAATACTTGACTGGATCTAGGACCCTGTATTGAGCAAATATTTGTATAAAAATATGACGGTAAATACTGAATAATTTACTCACAGATAAAGAGAAAAAAAGAGGCAATGGTTATCATTCTACAGAAGAATGCTGAGAATGGACGGAGCGAGTAAACAGTGAAGGAATCCTAATGAAAATAAAAGTTCCCAGTAGCTCGGACCGATTTTAAATGTGAATTGAGTTTAAGCGTGTAATGATTTTTTTTCTTTTTCTTTCAGATTTAACAACTTAAATTTGAAATTGCCAAAGACGGCAATTTCAAACAGGGATAGATCAGTAATAAAACAACGCGTTAAAGTTATCGAAGCCTATTACGAAAATGGACGTTCAAACAGAAATGCATTCCACGTACTTCGCAATTATTTTATCTATCTTACTCATCTACCTATAAGTCTACCATTCGCCCATCCTTTGAATATTAATGTCACATTTGATCCGGTACTCCTGCTATATATTTAGAGATTCTTGATAAATTACAAAGAAAAATCAGCAATGTTATTAGTCCTGACCTGGCATCTCGGCTTCAGTCACTTCCTGACGCCGTAAAGTAGCTTCCTTGTAGCATTTCTATAAATACTTTCATTGTAACCATTCGAATGAACTCGTCGCTACAGATTGTGGGGTTTTTTATTACTAAGACTATTTTGTTTAGTTTCTTGTATATAGTTTTGTTCATTTTTGTAAATATTCATTGGGACTTAGATTTTTAAGTTGTTATTTTATTTCCCTCCTCACAGACAATAAATTGTGAAGGGTATTCCAATAACTTGAACTGATTTTAAATGTGAATTAAGTTTAAACGTCTAATGATTTTTTTTTCTTTTTCTTTCAGATTTAACAACTTAAGTCTTTGTCAATTTCAACCATGGAAAGATTAACAATCATGTTTCTCTGTCTTGTACGTTCCTCTCTTTCTCTCTGATGTTTTATGGAGCTCATCAGGAAGTCCTCCTTCTAAATTTAAAATTTCCTTTAATTTGGGCATATGTTTGTCAGTATCTCTTTCAAATGTCGTTGAACTAATTTGTGGTTTTAGACAAAGTTATCCAAGGCGACATTTTGGCGTTTAAATTCGATGTCGTCGGCAGCCTGGTGCAAATGCAAAATTCCCGTTCATATTTGGGGAAAAGAGAACGAACATGACAATCGCATTTTAGAAGAAAAATAAACAGAACATCATTTCAGTGATAATAATGCCGTGGCAGAGATATTTATAATTTGTATACCCAATAGTAGATAGGCATGTGTTTGCCCCAGTGTATAAATACACACACACACCCAAGCACGCAAAACACACACACACACACACACACACACACACACACACACACACAATTAAAATGTGTTCCAATAACTTGGACCGATTTTAAATGTGAATTAAGTTTAAGCGTCTAATGATTTTTTTTTTTTTTTCTTTCAGATTTAACAACTTAAGTCTTTGCCAATTTCAACCATGGAAAGATTAACAATCAAACATGTCAGTTATCGAAGCCTATTACGAAAATAGACGTTCAAACAGAATTCGAATGAAAAGTTCCCATGTTTCATCATCTTTCGAAATACCAAAGTCAATTGGCCACCACGATCGTGCGACTTGAATCCTTTAGATTTCTTCCTTTGGGGTCATCTCAAAAGTAAGGTCTTTGCTAACAAACCAACAACAATTCAACAGCTGAAGGATGAGATAATAAGGCATATTGGTGAGATCAAGGATCAACTATGCAGAGACGTCAACAAAAATTTTCACCATCGATTGGAGGTGCGCCGCCGAAACCTTGGCGGACATTTGGGCGATATTATTTTTCACCCATAATTGCCATGACTTAAATAACATGATCCAATAGAGAAATAAATAAATTTTCACTAATAACACTGATTTATTTACTGGTGACTTTGATCACGTCGGGGTTACCAGTATGGTATAGAGATGAAGGTTGGGCTAATACTTAAGTAAAAGGCCAAATTTACTGACTATAGTACCATTTTATTGCTGACTCCATTTGGTTACAGTGATTAAAGTCTTAGTTCATTTTTGTGATTTTGAGAGTTTATGCAGGGTCGTTGTGTTTTTGGCTGACAGAAAGTAATTTCTTGAATTCATCCTTTCTTTTTCTTCTTTTTCTTGTGGAGTTGTACGTCAGGTCAAACTCAACATCCGATGAAACTCCAACCCTCATTGGCTGATTTTTTTTATGACGTTCACTGACCCACATAAGCTATGTCCGGGCTCTGTCAGTTACCGATAAACACAATAGAAGGAAGGAAAGGAAGTATGTGTAATAGAAAAAGGAGAAAAAGTTTTCTTTCTCACTCTCTTAGTATAAAGGAAAGTGTATATTTCCATATGGTGTTTAGTACTACCTAATCTTATATGGATCGTATTATACACAAGACCCTAACAAATGCTTATTACCACGGGTCAGGGTGGACCTGGTACCAACAGCAATTAAGAGATGATTCCACGCTACAAAATACTGAAGTGGGATCAGAAAATAATAAATGCTAATTAGTAACAATAAAACCAGTGGGCAGCGATTTTTAAAAAAATGAGAGAACGAAAACGAAACAAGAACTTCATATTTTTTGTTACGTTCAGAATTTATTGTTTCTATATGTGTATGGCATATAGAGAGATGAAGTTTGGCTTAATACATAAGTAAAAGGCCAAATTTACTGACTATATTGCCTGTAGTATATTTTATTGCTGACTCCATTTGGTTACAGTGTTTAAAGTGGATGACTATCGTCTTAGTCCATTTTTGTGATTTTGAGAGTTCATGCAGGGTCGTTGTGTTTTTGGCTGACAGAAATTAATTTCTTGAATTCATCCTTTCTTCTTCTTTTTCTTCTGGAGTTGTACGTCAGGTCAAACTCAACATCCGATGAATCTCCAACCAATGCGTCTCGAACTGCTATATCGAACCAATTTCCCACTTTTTCTGTCCTGTGCACGTTTTATGATTATTATTATTATTATTATTGTGCCTGACATATCCGTGTTTTCCGTTTCATTTTTGGCGGGACTTATGGTCACTGGTTGATTTTTTTGCTATGACGTTCGCTGCTAGAAACAAAAAAAAAGGACGCTCACATTCAGTATCCGAAAGTGAGAAATGAAATCTCTTCGACATAATGAGAAAGGCAACCTTTCCAAGATCGCCTTTCACGGGGCACATCGAATGCAGGCGGACATTGGAACAACAGACCAACTACCTGAGGATCTTTTGTGAATGAATGACGGAACGAATTGTGGAAGTTAAGATAAAAAGACAGACATTACTAAGTGGTACTAAGTCGTAGAGCGACACTTCCTAAAGGGATGCGGCATGTAAAAGCTGTACTCAGTTATGTGTCATGCGTGATACACTCTTAGGCGATCATGTATCTTTTGATACATGACTGACGAGGCAGATTTTTTTCCCGCAGTAGGTTGCCATTTCTTTCTGCAGTAGGCCATTTGCCAACCTGGTCTGTCCTGCTATTTACCCATAGCTGGAGGGAAAAGAGGATTCCTAATGTAATGGATTCGACTGGAATCCGAACGTATGAGGGTCAAGCCCAGACACCAGCACATATGATTTGATTATAGTGTTGAAGACATTGTGCAGAACCAATCAAACTTTTTGAGAAGCTGAATACAGAGACGAGGTACACTGCGGACCACATGGTCCCCAAAACGACCCTCTGCAAGTTTTGAATTCAGAGTTGTCCGTCTCCTAGACCAGTTGCCATCCAAGGCTATAGAACCCAGTCTGTCCCGCTACTTACCCATAGCTTGAAGGAGAAGAGGAGGATTAATACTTTAGCACGAAAGTGAACGGATTAATACATTATTAGCACTAATATTAATACTTTATTCCGACTGGAATTCGAACTCTGCATTCCGATTCCTCAATCCGAACAGCTATCCATTAAGCCACCCTGTTACTTCGACAGATGTAAGCTTGACAAGAGAAAGCAGCTTTCACAGTGATCATTCAAACACAAAACTGTATATTGTGATTATGTCGACCAACGTAAACAGCCATATCAACCTTAAGCACACTGAAAGCGAGATTCCAAAGACAATATAATTTTCGGATGCAAATCGAGCATCCATTTCGCGTATTTTGTCAATAAAGGAGACGAAAGCTTCTTTGAAAAGGACGCATAAATTGAACCAGACGCTTTTTCCATTTGATGGGAAGGCAATAATGTATCGTATTTTGAGGTGTGAACGAAAGTATATTGAGATATGCGGCACTTCTACCGGGAAATAAAGATTTCACACATAGCTGCTGTATCCATACTGAGAGGCCTATTGCCAATGACGCTTTCGGCGCCGACGAAACGGCTATGATTTGGATCTCGTCTTACAGACTTGATGCGCATTCAACCGAATTTTCGACTGATTCGACCGAACCTGTCCATCAGGAAATAGAATTTTTTTCCAACCAGTTCCAAGACTCCATGTGTCAGTTAATCACGTCCAATTCTTTTTTTTTTCTCTTTTATTCTCACTCTGTCTCTGTTTCTATTTCTCTCTCTCTCTCTCCTTCAATTCATTTTCTACCTTTCTCCTTCTTATTCTTTTTTCATCTTCTTGCTCTTCTTCCGACTTTCTCATTCTTGTTTATTTTCTTCTGCCAAATTTTACATTCTGGTTATTCAATTTCTTCCGCTTCACTGATTCGCGTTTCTTTTCTTCAGTCATTTTTTTCTTTTAACTAGTGCCGCCATTTTCCATCCTCTTTTTACTCGTTTTACTTTCTCCTTTATCTTCTACGACTTTTCTCGTTTGTTTTTTTTACCTTCTTTCTTCTTCTTCTTCTTCTTCTTCTTCTTTCTATTCCTTTTCTCATATTTTCCTCTTCTCCCTTTTCTTCTACCGTCTTTCTCTTTTTTTTCTCCTCCGCTTTTCTCATTCTTCTCCTTATTTTTCTTTTTTCTTCTACCCCCTTTCTCATTTCTATCGCTTTTCTCGTTTTTCTCCTTCTTTTTCTTTTTTTATTCTGCCTCTTTTGTCATGTTTTCTCTACTGCTTTTCAAGTTCTCGTCCTTTCTCGTTTTTCTTGTATCGCCTTTCTCGTTCTTCTCCTTTCTCGTTTTTTTTTCATATACCACTTTTCACGTTCTTCTCCCTTTCCTTCTACCGTCTTTCTCTTTTTTTCCCCTCCGCTTTTCTCATTCTTCTACTTATTTTTCTTTTTTCTTCTGCCTCTTTTCTCATATTTTCTCGACCGCTTTTCAAATTCTCGTCCTTTGCCATTTTCTTGTATTGCAGTTCTCGTTCTTCTCTTTTCTCATTTTTTTTTCTTATACGGCTTTTCACGTTCTCCTCGCTTTTCTTCTACCCACTTTCTCATTTCTATCTCGTTTTTCTCCTTCTTTTTCTTTTTTTTATTCTGCCTCTTTTGTCATGTTTTTTCTACCGCTTTTCAAATTCTCGTCCTTTCTCGTTTTTCTTGTATCGCCTTTCTCGTTCTTCTCCTTTCTCGTTTTTTTTTTCATATACCACTTTTCACGTTCTTCTCCCTTTCTTTCAACCGTCTTTCTCATTTTTTTTTCTCCCGTTTTTATTTTTTTTCTTCTCCTACCACCTTTCTCGTCTACCTTCTAACGGCTTTCTTTTTTCTGACCTTTTTCTTTTTCAATCGCCTTTCTCCTTTCGCTTCCACCGTCTTTTCTTGTTCTTGTTCTATTTTTTCTTCTACCCCCATTCTGGTTATTTTCTCGTTTTTCTTTTACCGCCATTCTCGTTCTAGTTTTTAATAGAGATCCTGCTTACGGTATCTCTGTAGCAGTGTAAAATTAATTGAAATATACACCCTGACCGATAATCCATGCTGAGTCGACATTAGAGCTGCATGAAGAAGGAATTTCGTTCTGTCAAGGCTCTCGAGTTTCCAATTAAGTGTTCTCCTAGACTTGCTGCCAACCAAGATTAATAAAGCCAGTTTTCACTACATAGCTGGAGGGGAGGTAGATCCATACCATTCCAAAGGTTATTTGTGCGTAAGTGAATGTAATGAACTCGACTGGAATTCGAACGCGAATCTCCGATTTCAAATTCAGAGTCGCTATCCATTACACCACCGCACATCTATATCTCATTTACAGTGATTTTATAGTAGAATCTGTTCCAATGAATTTTTATATATGCTTTCATTATTTGCTACGTCACGATACCCACAGTCAGTACACTGGCAAGCAAATGTTTTGGGCCAACGACATAAAATAAATACATACCTTTATTTTATGAAGATTGTCTAACAGAAGGATTTTATTAGTTCTTTCAGAGAACTTTTCAGATTGGGAAATTATCTGTTTCATTTTCGTAAGTATTCCTGGGTATGATGATAAATTATATCCAGAAGCAAGGCTTCTGATAGGCAGATTGAAGATTTTGAGGATCATGGAACGTCCCCTTGATTGCTATTGTTACCAGGTCTACTCTGACCCGGGATGGTAGTATCTTTTAGGCTCCTAGCTATGGGAAAAAAAATAACACCCGAACAAGAACAAAAAAAAAAAACTATAAGTATAAAAATGCATTTTCGTTGTAAAAATACCAACAATACATATTTATAGTAAAATTACCAACAATAAAATTTTAAAGCAAAATTATCAGCAATAAATTTAATAGTGGATTACCAACAATATATTTTATAATAAAATGACCAACAATATATTTTATAATAAAATGACCAACAATACATTTTATAATAAAATGACCAGCAATACATTTTATAATAAAATGACCAACAATACATTTTATATTAGAATGACCAGCAATACATTTTATAATAAAATGACCAACAATATATTTTATAATAAAATGACCAACAATACATTTTATAATAAAATGACCAACAATACATTTTTATAATAAAATGACCAGCAATATAATTTGTCTGTAGTTGAAAACATAAAATTACCTTCAAGATATTTAGATTTCGCCATTAAATAAGACATAAAGTCTCAGATGACACTAAACAAATTCAACCAACCAATAATCCATATTTGTAGTAAAATATTATAAATATTTATATTTACTGAACCCACAAAATTATGTTCAAAATATTTACACCCTGGTGCAAATTAATTGAAACAAAACTAATAATTCCGTTATTATTTACTATTTTTCGTATTTTCCAATGAAACATGACCCAATGCATATATTAATACCTCGTATGTTCATTCCACGAAGTAGTTCCTTGAAGATTAACCACAGATTATCGACTGGATTTAAATCAGGAGTTTTCGGGTCAGTCTCGTACTTTGATTTGCTCACTGGTAAGGCTTGGCAATGTGCTCGTGCAGCGATACAATTTTCGTACGCTTCCTTGGAGTAACGTCCATCGCAGTCAATGGCCGTAGGACAACTAATCGACAGTCGGGACAATAGTGTCTAAGCGTGATAAAATCTGATGCAATCACGTATGACGCAATATTTTTCAAGGCCAAACAAATTTCATCATACATCCCGAAAATAGATTCATATTGCTGAAAACCATGGCAATTGATCTAATCTGAGGGAAATCAATTACAACCTGTCACTCCAGTGGGTCTATAACTGACTGTATGGTGAAACAAAGGAAACTAAAACGGTTGTTTGCATTCATTTGCACAAGGGTGTATATTTGGCATTAAATAGCCTATAGAAGTTGATATGCCGCTAAATAAATTCAACTAACAATACATATTTAAAGCAAAATGACTAACAACATTTTTATCTGGAGTGGAAGGCATGCAATTGCGTTCAAAATATATATTTTTTGAAGCCATAAAATTGTGTTCAAAATATTAAATAACCCATATAGGTGTTGTTATGCTGCTAAACAAAATCAACGATCCAACATTTTCGCAGGTTATGTGTAACAAAAGATACACCGCTTTCAGTCGCTTGAGGTAGAGAAATGGTCATGCAAAACTATTGGGCCAATGAAAGATCTAAAACGATAAAGTCACGATAATGTGCATTAATTTATAATTATGAATTGTTACATTTGTGAATAATGGGCCTTGGCAGGCCATTGTAGTCGGACATCAGCTAGCTTTTCCTCTGCACTACAAATACGGTTAAAATTTCTGCTGAAGCCAAGATGGAGGTTGTGACCCTGAAGGGGAAAATGACTCAGCGAGAAATAGCCAGGCAGCTGGGATATCTTGACCTTGTTCCATTCAATGTCACATCGAACTGAGGCAATTATTAGAGTCAATGTTAGCAACACTAATTATTAATTCGGTTCTACTTTGGCTTGTTATCTACAAGCAATATCTACTTTGGCTTGTTATCTACAACGAAAAAAAAATATCTACTTTGATTTTTTATCTACAAGGGGAAAATACCTTAGCGTACAAATTTTATTTTGGAATGATATCTACATAGTAAAACATGGTGCTACTTTGGCTTGTTATCTTCTCCTTGTAGATAACCAGCCAAAGTAGCACCATGTTTTACTATGTAGATATTATTCCAAATTAAAATTTGTGCGGTGTAGAGACATTTTATCCGATGTACACACTGTTTATCGTTAGAAAATTAAAATATTAAAAAATTTATTTTTATTTCTATATAAATAAAAGCATTTTAAAAAAATATTTTAATTCCATTTTCTTTACGTCATATACCGAGCGTAACAGCAAAATTGCCCAAATCGTGTAAAAGCAAAATTGTTCAATTGTTAGATTAAGCTTTGAACCGTGGCATCTTAGAAATGATTAAAGATATCTTACTGGCATACACCGAGATTTTTATAACACTAGCGGACTCTAATTGAGCAATAAGAATGTATAATTCCTCTCCAAGCTTAACAGAAGAATCGTGATGAATCGATCATAAACGAAAAAATGATATGTTCATTATTTATAGCTAAGAATCGAAATTAAGTTTATACACACAAACACCCCCCATATATATATATATATATATATATATATATATATATATATATATATATATATATATATTATTCAGGATCATTTTCTGTCCAGGACTAACAAGACGCCTCACTGGTTTCACGTACGATTTCATTTTCAAATCTTTTTTCACTGCTCTTCGGACTGTCATTGCTGAAACTTCTCTTTCATGTGCCAAATGTCTTATGAGTTGAGTTGGATCTGTCCTAATTGAAGTTGAAATGATGCTCCTTCTTCCTGCTGTGATCTCCTGATCCAGTTTTCCTCTTTACTGTTCCCTCTTTTTAAAAAAAAAAAAAATTATTCACCATTCTCTTGATGGTTTTGGAATGGACTTTGAAGATGGAAGCCAGAGTATGAATGTTGATACCATTACTGAAGGCCTGAGTGATCTTTTTTTTTTTCTCTTACCATTGCTCATTTGGGAATACAGTGAGTCTGACACAAAATAATTTTAACCTGCTCCCTTTTTAGCTGAATAACTCAAAGGTTTTTTCAGTGATTCTTACGAGAAATGGTGTCAAGATGGTTAAACGTCTTATCTGAAAACCTGGCAAAAAAAAAGAAACTCAATTAGTTCAGCGGTTTTTTGTTTTTTTTTTAGATATTGTCGGATGGATAATTATGCTGTCACACGATTTGGACAATTTTGCTGTTACACCCGGTATGTAATTATTAATGCGAGTAAAAGTTTAATGTTTCAATTTACTAAAGTAAAATAATTTCTAAGGAATTTCTATATATTATTTTAGCATTTTCTATGCCTTTGTACATGTAATCATTAGCATGAAAGAAAGTTTAATGTATCGGTTTAATAAATCCCGCCTTTCACCTTTTACTGTAATGAATTGATTTACATTGGTCGGCAACCTTTTGCTAACTGTGCGCCGACATAAGGTTTTAAAATTATTCAGTGTTCCAACAACGTACATATTTTTATACAAAGTCAATATGCCTATTGTACAATATATTTTATATATTAATATATAATTAATATATAGTATGAACATAATAAAATAGGCAGCATATATTTTATATTACAAAGAGTAAAGCATACCTTGAATCAATTAGCAATATTAATGCAATTATTGGCGAAATCCCTTCGCTAGTAGACATAATTATAAGAATTATACTACTAATAATCCCCTGAGTGGATTATTAGTAGTATAATGCTTATAATTATGTCTAATAATATATATATATATATATATATAATTATTATAAAAAAATTATAACATAAGTATGTTATAAAATCACTACAAAAATAGCCATTTTGTTTCAACACACTCTGTGTCTTATCAAGTGATGATGTTGAAAATAAAAAAAATTATTTTCAACATCATCACTTGATAAGACACAGAGTGTGTTGAAACAAAATGGCTATTTTTGTGGTGATTTTATAACATACTTATGTTATAATTTTTTATAAAAATAATTATATCTGCTCTACTTTGTATTGAGCACTCTTTTAAGAATAGTAATTGTTGGTTATTGAATTCATTCTGATATACCAATTATATACTTATATATATATATATATATATATATATATATATATATATATATAATTATTTATTTAAAAATATGATTCCAACACGCTACATTAGAGTTCTCATGTTTCAAATCAAGAACCGAAAACTTCATTATAATTATTTGAATTAAAGTACTAAGCTCTGTTCCATCTTCAAGCGAAATTTATTTTGGAATAACTTATTTCTAAAATTTACGCGTTTCATAAGCATATTCATTATTGAAACCAAAATTTCTATGGTAACGGCTAGAGCAATTGTTTAAAGCAAAGGGCGTAAGGTGTTGATATTTTGTATCAATATCTCAGTTACAT